TGCTGAACATCAGGAGCTCAGTCCACAAGAGGTGAAGGGGCTGCTACTTGTGTAGTTCAGGTGCGTGCCAGCATCAGTCTGCAAAGTTGTGACAGAGGAGAAAGCTGTTGACCTTTTTCTAGCACTGTGTCTTGGACTTGTCATTCCTCTTTTTGAGACCTCACTCTACAATGGCCTTTGAATTGGAAATAATTTTAAAGGAGAACTATGGCTTCTTATCTTTTATATCCTTACACAGGAACAAACAAACCTATTAAAAAAAAAAAAAAAAAAGCTTAACCCAGCCCCATTAGTAGCGATGTGTTAGCAGCAATTCAAACCACCATGGTTACTCTAGAGTAATTCTTCCCCACACATGTGACACTCAAGCATACAGAGGCATATGCTTGGAGCTGAGTAGCTGAGGCTATGTCTGGACTGTATAGTTAGAATATAAACACAATGTGGCCCACTGCATGAGTGATTTGGCTGGGATATTTTCCATATAATTCAAGTGCCATCATCCTTTGAGAGATGTGTTCCTTGATGGCTGTCTCATGAGCACAGAAACAAACAAAACAGAAAATAGCCAATGTTAAGTTTTCATTAGTTTTCGGGGAAAAAACAAGCCTAAACCAAAAAAGCCCTGGTTTTATTATTGCGTACATTGCCAGAGAAGATCTTAATGCCAATGCAAACTCCAAACATGTTATTTGAACATTGTGTCTATTTCCCTGTCTCCATCAACTAACTTTGCTTGGCTACTCTTTGCTGAGCTACTCTTACTTTGCATGGCTTCTCTGCAGAAGGAAGAGGTATTTTCTCTATCAGGTAAAGTACTGCTTGTGATTTCCACTTCTACTCCTTCTCCCCTTGACTGTTTTTTATTTTCTTCCTCTGCTTTCCCCTGATACAGAGTTCCTTGTCTGTAGTGAAAGTAACGTGTTCCCTAGGTGGATAAATCTCTTATCTTCAGTCCTTACTTCATTTTCTCTGATGGCCTCCTTGCTTTACCATCCTGCCAACTGGAGCAGAGACAACCAACTTCCCTGCGATATTCTTGGCTTCACATCAAAATCTTCCCAAGCTGCATGTAGCACGGTGAGCTCCAGGTGAAAGCAGCTGTCTGAGATCCTGTAGCTCCATTATATGAGGGGACTGCTGCAGTTTCTTGGGGTATTCATTAGTTCAGATAACATATATTTTTTCCTCTGGTCCTTTATTAATTTTTGAATGGAGACAAGAAGTAGAGATAACATTGCCTGCTGGTTTTCCTATTCCACATAAACAACGATAGTGTTCCCAGAGTGCCGCCACAGTTTAGACCTGCTCTAGGCTTTGATTGCTAGCATCTCTTCTTTCATGCTGGCTCCTGCCAGAAATTCTTCAGTGCTAACTTAATCTGGAATCAGTGATGACTAGACTTGTACACACCCTTGTGAGGGATTCTAAACATGTCATTTGCCACGGTGACACACTTGATTTTCTTTTCTTTAGCTCCTCTGTACAGTGACAAAAGAGCTAATGCGAAAATTGGTTTTTTTCGTGGAGATACTGACTTGCACCTTGCCACTGGGACACCTTTCACTTAAGATTTAGATGTCAGCTGAAGCTTTTCTATGAGTAAATATTGCAGTACAACCACCACAGTATGCAATTGGTGGCCAATAGTTTGGCATGCTTTAATACCGTTGCCTTCCCTGGAGAAACATGGTAAATGATCTTCTCAGGTCTAGGTTCCAGTGCAGACAGTTTTTCTTTGTTATAGTGATAGTGACAGTGACAGTGATGGATAGCTTTGTTAAAAATTATCTTACCAAAGTTCAATTGCTAATCAAAAGAGTGGTGAGACAGAGCAACAGATTTGCCGTATTCTGTTGGGAATGTCTTTTTCAGATGTTTCTGCTGTTCTCAATAAATACAGTACTTGCTGATTCAGCTTTGCTGATATTGGGCTGGATTCACTGGTGTGTTCCAGCTGCTTTGCAGTGCTCGGGCAATGCAAAACAGCTGGAGGTCTGGTTTAACTCAAACCAGGTTTATGGCTGTTTTGCGTCACTGGAACAGTGTAAAGTATCTGAAGCATGCCAGCTAATCTGGCCTATTGGTGAACCATTATAAATGACTTGTTTTTCTTCGTGTTCTTTACTTGTAAATTTATTTATAGCTTAAACCTATAGAAATTGAGTAGATTGTATCACTTAAAGACAGATTTTGTATTCTGAAGTAAAGTGTCTATAAAATTTGAGCTTTTTTAAGCCAGAGGTTTTTTTTTCCACAACTGAAATGAAACTATCAAATTATATGTTGTTCCCCTGCACTTGTCTATTACGAGTTTCTTTTAAGTTACGCTAAGATTACTGTTCCCAGTTCTTATTATCAGATGAAACAATTATTAGTCTTTGTGATCTAAAAGAGCTAGTTTTAAATGTTTCATTTTGCCAAAAATAGGTTCAGATCTTTTTCTAAATACAGTGATTTCCTTCTATTTTGATGAGAACGTATGCAATATTTGTGACATTGTCAATATTGTCTGTAATTTAGCAATTTAAAATATTTTGGAGATTGTGGAAAATCAGCCAACCAGTATTTTTCTTCTTTTTGTAGTAAAACGTATGCTTTAAGTCATATTTACCTACCTTAGATATCATGGTGAATGTTAAAAACACTCTGTAAACATTAATCTATAACTGGGTTATTCTACATGTCGTAATGTTTTTGTTCTTAATCTGACTCTTCCTCTGAGGCTCTTGTGGAATTGAGTGTGTTTGTGTGTACTTTTTAACAGACAATATTGTACAATGGAAGGATAACGTAAGTGTCGTTACACCTTCTTTGTAGTGCACAAGTGTGCCTATAGTTTTTCAAAACTCAGTAATTTTGCTTTTCATGTAGAAATATTTTGGTATAAAAATTATGGGATGATTTTTTAAAAAATTTCTTTCTGGACAGCCTTACTGACATTTAAGTCAGAAATTGCATTTCTTTGATCAGATGTAGATTAAGAGAAAACATGACAGAATTTGCGAAGTTTTTCTGGACTTAGAGATAAAACACCAAAGATTTAATTACTGCCTCATATTAATTAAGATAACAATGCAAAACCCTTCATTAGAAGCACAGGAAAAGTTCTTTCTTGGTCCTTGGAGAGAATATTATATGCAAGCCCTGTTGTGTGGGTTGCAAGGTGTCACTGGAATTTATATGCATTACTTGTCTAATTGCAGTAAATGTAGCATATCCAGATAGGTTTAAAAGTTGGATGGCTGTTTGTTACTTGCTAGAATTCACTTGAAACCTTGCTACTCGGAGGCAGCTGTTCACAGGTCCTTCACCTCTCCCCAGAGATGGCTAGAAGACTCTGTTGTTGGACCCTGTCTTTTATGGCAGAAGCGGTAAACATGACAGGTTGTTTGGGAGCCATCTGTTTTAAAATGGTTGCTGCTTTGTATGCAGTAATGAACTTGAGATCAGTTTTCTGTCTGTCTTCGTAGTAACAGTCTTGTTTGGTGTCACAACAGGTGGAAGTTGATGGGATGAAACTGAACGTGACCGGTGAATGGAACCTGGCTTCACCCTTGTTGTCTGTCACCATTGATGGCACTCAGAGGACTATACAGGTAAATTCATCAACACTTTATTTGTAGAGCTGCGATAACTACATGCTTTTAGATACACAAATAATGTTGATACATGGGGTCTAAACTTACTGTATCGTAAAATTGATGTTACGCTGTGCAGATAACATAATCTTGCCCTTCTACTTTGAAGGCATCCAGAACATCAGTGAGATGAGCTCCTCTAGAATTGCTAGGGAAGCTTTTGTACTTCTCAAATGTCTTCCATTTGAAGAGAAATCACTTACTTTAGACAGAAATTCACCCCAGATCCTAGTATCTCTTCACTTAATGTGTATGAGGAGCTATGATTTCTTAAGGAATAACCTTAGGAAATAAAGTAAGAATTACTCTTTACAGAAAGGAGGGGTTCTACAGTAAAACTATTCTCTTTCTGATGTTTGAATCATCATCACAGGTTTTTTTCTCTTTTGGGCCTTTGCAGATGGGAAGCCACAGGACAACATATCTCCCATGTTCTTGCTTTTATAAAATATTATTAGTTCCATAATTTGAAAAGAAAAACATAAAAAAACATCCAAAACCTGTATGACTCTGACAAAAGAAGGCTAAGAAGTTTAATGTAGGTTTAATGTAGATTCTTTCCTTCTTTCCTTCTGACCACTTACGTGTTTGAAAACAACTCCAAACAAAATGATCTCTCTAACTGTAAGTTTTCTGAAGGTAATGCTAGTCAGGTGTTATGTATTTGTTAAGAAACCTTTTATTAATATCTATCTATTGATCCTGGAAATCAGTGAAAGGAAAACAAAATGTCAAAACTTTGAAATAAATTAAAGCATTTTTCTACATACAGTATTATCTGTCTGTCTGTCAATCTATCTGTCTATCTATTTTATATACATTTATTAGTGATACCCTGATCAGGTTTCTGATGTTAATTCACAGTGAAATATATGTGTTTTTTTGCATTTTCAACCCTGGTGAAATTCCCAAATGAAAACGTTGTTTTTCCTATGACTGAATTGAAAAGATTGCAACTTTATGAAAATAAATATTGTCTCTTTTAAGGATGGTATTGACTGAGAGTGAAATTTTCATTATACGTCCAAATAAATTCTGGACGTAATTTCTGTAGGTTTCTTGGAAGGTTAATGGCATCTTCAGGTTGTCTGTCTAAAATAACTCTACACTCTAAAGTGTAGTTTTATATTTTGATACCGGTCCATTTTACTGGTATTTATTTTATAGTACATAATCCCTAATATTGAATAGGAAACAATACTAATGTATGAACATACAAAATCTCTTTAGGAGAAAAGTGTTATATTTGGCATGAATAACTGTATTCGGAAGGCCTCACTGCAAACTATTGGGACATATGTATAACAATTACATAGCATTATACAACTCTCTCAGTATAACTAATAAAAAAGGCCAGGTAACCAAAAGTGTAATATTTGAAATGGCACGTAAATTTAGTTTCAAAATTAATGATCATCAGATCTGGACATGCTTTTTGCTAGGAGGTGAGCCAGCAATAGTGTTGCTTGCACTGCTGGAATACAACCAAATTGTATGAAATACTACAGGAGTAACCACAATAACAAGCAGTGAACTGACTGAATGGTATTTATCCAACAGAAGATGAAATAAGCACATATATTGTTGCTTTCTGAGATATTATCCGTAAGTCTTTGTTTTTAGCAAAGAAAGCCAGTAGCATGAAAAGTTATTAATCTTTTAGTGTATGTATGTAACATTATAAAAACCCTAAACTTGACCTCTGATATCCGCTCACTGGAATCTAAATTGGTTTTTTGGTTATATATGTCTCTAGACTTGCCCCACTGCAAGAACCAAATTAGACAAGTGTATTCCTGTAGGTCAATTTGTCTCCAAAAGCAATTGACTCCTGAGTCTTGAAGTATCTTCTTTCAGCAAGACTTAGCCCTAGAGCCATTTAAGCAACAAATATGGATGAATCGAATAATTCCAGCTGTGCTTTATTAATTTTCAGCCGATCTAATTTCTCTTCATAGTTGGTTTCGTTCTTCTAAATTTGCTCAACCAGGTACAGTCTTTGTGAACAGTATACTTCTTTGAAGGTTTGATGTATTCACCTTTGGCTTGATCTTGCAGTCTGGCCCCAGCGAAGCACTTAAGCACAGAAGCAGGAAATAAATAATTTTAAAATGTTTTGGTTTAAAATGTATTTATGTAAATTATTGTCTAGACATTCAAATTGTTGCATATCGGTCGCACATATAAAAGTAAGTAATTAGGCAGGCTTATCTATTTCTGCTCCTCTGTTAAAGGCTCAATGTGGATTAGAGCAAAAGCAGAGCACCAGCTCGGCCATGCTTGAGGTTAAGAAGACCTCTGAGTTTAAAAATCAGGTTTTCTAAGGCTGCCTCTAGATGGGGGAACCTGGGAATATATCTGAGCTGCTGAGGAGAAGTAGATGCCCTGGTCAAAGCCTGTCTAGGGCATTATCAGGGCACAGCTAGGCTGTGCAGCAGCCCCCTCCCTCAGGCTTTGTTCGCTTTGCAGGGAAGCCCATCTGTGCAGCAGATGGGCGCTGCGGAGTGCCTGGCCAGGTCCCCAGATGATAGAGGGACCAGCGCCCTGGGGGAGACTGCAGGTCTGTTTTGCTGTAGCATAAGGGCTCTACAGTCTTTATGCTGGCTTGGATTGCTCTGAAATCCATAGGATCTTGTAGAAGGTTATGAAATGGGGAAAACTTGGACTCATTTGAGCAAGAGATTCCTGAGATACAGCTCTCTGGAGGCAGGGTGTAGAGCAGACCCCATAGCATTTCTTGAAGGACACAGATTCCGTCACTGGGCTTTTTTGTTATTTTGTAATTCCTCAGCTGGAATTACAGTGGTCCCAGTTTCTCAGCATTTCCCCCACTTATGACTAGAACCTACCTCCCATTTGGGGAGTCTGAATGCAATGCAGTGTGAAGTGTAGGATTTTGTTTTTAAAGTACGTATGTACCAGACAAACTGCAATTTGTGCATACAAGAATACTTTTCCAAAATGGTTTTCCATACCTGTTCCCAAAGATTTTCAGTGGCTCTGGAGCCTGAGTTCTTGTCAATTCAAAATCTACTACTGCTGAAAATTGAAGAAGTAACTATAGGCATTTGTTACAATATGTCTCCATGAGGATTTAGACTTGAAGGGATAGCTTGTTATTTAAAATACATACCTAAAATATATTTACATATAAAATACAATTTGAAAATGGCATAGGCTTTCAGGCAATATTTAGAATTAAAAATAAGCAAATAAATGATGGACTGTCTCCCTGTACCTATGATAGGAGGAGCGGGTGGAAGAGGAGAAGAGAATGGTGCAAGGTCTAGTTGGAGGCTGATAGCTAGCGGTGTCCCCCAGGGGTCAGTCCTGGCTCCCGTCTTGTTCAATGTATTCATCAATGACCTGGAGGAAGGCACAGAGGGCACCCTCAGCAAGCTTGGAACTGGGAGGAGTGGCTGACACACCAGAAGGCTGTGCTGCCCTTCAGAGGGACCTGGACAGGCTGGAGAGTTGGGTGGAGAGGAACCTCAGGAAGTTCAACAAAGGCAAGTGCAGGGTCCTGCCCCTAGGGAGGAATGACCCCATGCCGCAGGACAGGCTGGGGGTTGACCTGCTGGAAAGCAGCTCTGCCGAGAAGGCCCTGGGAGTCCTGGTGGACAACAAGTTAAACATGAGCCAGCAATGTGCCCTGGTGGCCAAGAAGGCCAACGGTCTCCTGGGGTGCTTTAGGCAGAGTGTTGCCAGGAGGTGGAGGGAGGTGATCCTGCCCCTCTCCTCAGCCCTGGGGAGGCCTCACCTGGAGTCCTGTGTCCAATTCTGGGCTCCCCAGGACAAGAGAGACGTGGCACTCCTGGAGCGAATCCAGTGAAGGGCTGCTAAGTTGATGAAGGGACTGGAGCATCTCTCCTATGAAGAAAGGCTGCGAGAGCTGGGCCTGTTCAGCCTGGAGAAGAGAAGGCTGGGGGGTGGATCTCATCAGTGTGTAAGCATCTGAAGGGAGGGTGTCGAGAGGATGGGGCCAGACTCTTCTCTGCGGTGCCCAGCAACAGGACAGGAGGCGGTGGGCACAAACTGAAACACAGGAAGTTTTGTCTGAACAGGAGAATAACGTGCCTTGTCTTTAGAGCTGAACCTTTCCTTGTATTCCCTCTTGTGAACCAGAATCCAACAATGAATCCGAGAAGTCCAGGAGATGGACTTTGACCCAATTGCAACTCTGTCCTCTCTTTGACACCGTGGTACAATGAGGATGGTACAAGGCACAGGAAGGTGCCTTGTACTGGGACACTGCACAGGGGGATTCAGGTATTTGCCTGCAATAAGAGCAGGTTGCCCATGAAAAAATGCATGTAGAAGATCCTCAATCCTCTTGGCTTTGGCAAAATTTGTGTTTGGGCTAGCTTTCAAAAAGCACCCCCACCTACCATTCTTTCAAATTTTGAGCCTACTCTATAGCAACACCACACTGGCAAGTTTTACAACTCCTTAGTGCTGTTTTACAGTCCCTTCAGAGAGGACTGTGTTTAACACTCTGCTTTCGTTGATCCCATCATCAAACACTCAGCCGATCCTTATATACCACCTACCTGCAGGCAGTTCTCTATAGCAGAAGGATTCTGTGCCAAAATAAATTGTCACCATCTTTCTATTACCTTTGCCCCTCTTCCTTGTATCATGCACATCTGTCTCCCTGCCACTCCTCTGGTGTATGCTGTGCTCACACCGCTTCCACTGCTCTGCTAGCTTGCAGCAATGAAGACCTCCACCTTTAAAGGGAGCGCAGGCACTCTGCTTGGAGTGTGGAAAGCTTGGGGTGGTTTTCAGTGGCTTCGCCAAGGCAGCTCTGTGATGGCAGTGGTGGTACCTTCTCCTTATATTTCCTGGCTTTCAGAGGTTTGGTCTCTGCTGAACTGAAACTCTGCAGGGACGTAGGCATTATGGTATAAGACTGAACTGGACAAGGGCCTGAGAGGCCTAATCTAACTTTTATGTTA